TTTCTACAAGAATTGTGTCTCTGTTGTGTAATGATTCACCTTCCCTTCAATTGATTTAACTCAAAATTTAACTGACTTTGCTGAAGAAATTGGAGTAATGGGAGCATTGAATGTAATATACAGTATTATACAATGGTGGACTTTTTATTTTTAAGAGAAATTAATACTGAGTGTAGACAAACACTTATCTAGAACTTTTAAAAAAGGTAGGTTTTAATGAACTCAGGGCAATTCTAATAGCATTTCATGGTGGGAGCAGCTAATGAGGAAAATGCAATGGAAGGTGCTTGTGATTTTTTTTTTTAAAGAAGATAGGAGAAATTGTAAACTATTTCAATTGGGGTTGGGAGAAAGATAGCAGTAGGAAGGATCTACATGCACAAAAAAGTAAGAAAACTGAACCTATAACAAGCATATTTAGGAGATGAGTGAATTATAAATCACAAGGGAAAATAGAGCCCAAAATATAGAGATAGTATCAAGAAATGCTAAAGATTAAGATGAGGTGAGGTTGATAAAAGACACTAAGAACAACACAAAGTTATTTTTCAGATATGTGAAAAGAGAGAGAGTGGGAGGGAGAGACAGAGGGAGGGCCGAGGAAAACCAGCTCCTTAGTGAAAGTGCTAAAATGTATTGGTGCTCTCCTTTGCCCGAAGATTTTATTGCAGAGAATAGGTTAGAGAAGAAAGGCAGGGCTAATCACCTCTTAGTCTGGATCAGAAATATCCAGGTGACATGCCAGATAATTGGAGGTCAGATGTAGTCCCATTTTTTAAAAAAAAGTGAGAAAGAAAGCTCTGAAGAACTTTGGTCTGCTTTGCATTGAAATCTAAAACAGATATTAAAGAGATCTGTTGCAGAGAAGCAAACCAGTTTGGAGAAGTCTAGGCTAGAAACTAGATGTTGTCATGAGTTTTAGTCTTGCTTTAGATGTGAAACAGCTGGATGACCTTGGGCCAGTCACATTGTCTCAACTGAAGAAGGAAGCAAGGGCAAATGATTTCTGAAATCTAGTTAAGAAAACTGGAGGGACTTGTCCATCTGGATGACAGAAGTCAGCACTGTTTCAAAGTTTCTTCCCCCCACAGCCCCAGTCCTATTCTGCTACCTTATTGTAGTGGTGGTGGTATGTTCCAGGGAGGAAGGAGTGAAGACTGTCAGGAGTGTATACTAATGTTGGGAATGTATGCCATGTGAAGGCCACTCCAACTTTTCAGCTAAAGCAAGCAGGCACCTATAAGGTGCAACAGTGATATAGGAAGATGCTGAAGGCAAATTATCACTTTAGTGATAATGGCAAAGGCATGATTTCATGATAAATAAGGTAATAATAAACCAGCCCTGTATTGTTATGAAGAAAGCAAGATGCATAGAAAATATAAATAGAAGGAAAGAGAAGAAAAAGATGACCAGCAGCAAGGTATGAGTGCACCTTTGGGAGACATGAAATAGATTGGGAGTAGATAATCTTTTGATCGCTAGGAGTTAAAAATGATAAAATGGTACATAATCAATCAATTGTAAAGAACTTGAAAACAGTACAGTATTTTTTCCCCAATGCGGTTTGGAAAGACTCTTGGGGTTTTACAGTTAATAACAAAAAAAAAACATACTAAACCCAATAATAATAAATGAATAATGAATAGTGAAGTACAATAATAATATTAATTTATTACAAAATCCAATAAAAATCATATATTGATTAATTTATATACATTGACTCTGCAACTGATCTTTGAAAGCCCTTTGCTTCAGCTGTACCTTTACCAGCTTCCAGAAGGCCATAAGAGTGGCACCCATCCTTGCCTCAAGATAGAAGCTATTTCAAAGGAGAGGAGCTCCCACAGAAGATGCCTGGTGCTGGGTTGCCTCCTGTTAGTTGCCAGTCTTCATCAGGATTTATCTGCCTCTCTGGACCAGTCAAGCACAAACCATCTGAGAAAAGCATGGGTTGTTATTATTTTAGATAGCCTTTTCAAGACATACTGGACTTTAAAGGTAGATCAGTACCTTGACTTGTATTCTGCAACATTTTGTAACCAGTATTGTTCCTATAGCAGTGGTACAGTGTAGTAATAAAATGGCTGCCAAGTAAGCATTGAGGCTATTGCATTTTGGACTAGCTAAAAAAGACTTTTTGTGAAATCTTTCTATACGATTCCATCACATATATTAAACAGATTTACAGGCTATTGAGAAAATGTCTCTGGCAACTTCTGCAAGATTCTTATTGTTGCAATTGATACTTTTACTTCCTATTCTAGTGCTTGTGACAATAGAAACATCATTCCTTTCCTGTAGTATCCTTTTATATGCCTGCTAGTTGCTGTTTTACCCCAGTATTTTTTCTACAGACGTAACCTCCCAAGTTCCTTTTGCATGCTCTTTTGATGAGTGCTATAATCTAATTTAGACATTGCTTTATAACAGTATGTGTGACATCAAAGAAAGTAACCCTAATGCAAGAAAGAAGAGGAATAATTCAAAACATAATATGCAAAGACATTATGGCACTCTCTGATTATTTTTACTCTTTAGTTAATGTTTCTCCCAGTATTGTCATATTTGTTGCTGGTGTTTGAGCACTGAGGTCTGAATTTGAAGTTGACTTCCATGGGCTATAGGCATATTAATAATGCAGATTAGAAGAGCTTTGAGGTTTCTGAAGCTAAGGAAAAATCCTAGGATGATGTCATTAGAGATATGAGTAGCAAATGACAAAAATGTAACTCAAGGAAAACTTGCTTGATTGTGGCAAATCTCTAAAACAACTGTCAGATAGCGCTAAACCTCAACTTGTTCAATCTTAATTTACTGTCTATCTGATTCAACTTCTGAACTATAATTAAGGGGCATCTGCCAATGGGGTGAATAAAAGTTAAGATGGCATGTGCAAATAATACAATTGAAACCTGGCTCCTTTGTACATGCAGACAATATTGACATATATATTGAAAGAATCAGGCTTTGATCCTTGGTCAAAATTCAAATTCTTGACTGTTTTGATCCCTCTCCAGCAGATGCCCCAACAAATGAATGCTAAGAAATACAACTTCCAGTATCATTTTGTTGAAAACCGGTAACGGTACCTTGTATATGATATAACTTAATAAGTTGCATTTTAAGCAGGTTCAAAGTTAAGATTTTTGTCTATGGGCCAGCCCCATGCAAAGAATCACATAAAGACTATGAATCTTCTTGCCTGATTCTTGTGAGAAGGAATGTCTGCCTTTTGGAGCAAATATTTCAACAAATGAGCTGTGGACAAGTTGGTGCTATGTAGCTTGGGGCTGTTATGTGAATGAAAGAAAAGTTAAGGCAACTTTGAAGAAATGAGAATCTATAACAAGGGTCTTCAAACTTGGCAAGTTTAAGACTTGTGGGCTTCAACTCCCAGAGTTCCTGAGCTAACATGACTGGAGGAGGAATTCTGGGAGTTGAAGTCCACATGTTTTAAAGCTGACAAATTTGAAAACCCCTGATCTATAACTAGGGATCTAACAGGTGCAATCATGACTTGAAAGCGAGACAAGCAAGAAAATTACCTAGTGAAAAAGAACTAAGACTACAACATTTGGAAATGACAAACCAGGAGTCAGTGAAGAAAGTTTGATGAGAGTCCTGGAATTCCAAAATGCTCAAAAAGACTTATTTTACCCTTTGCCATCCCCTTTCTAGGTTAAAAGTAAGCTTGGAAAATATGGAGTTTAGCTGTCTAACATAATGAAGATATCAAAGCATAGATACGAATACCTGTGTGAAGGAGAAGGGAGAAAAAGAAATGGTTAAGAAACTGTAAAGTTCTTTATACAAATTTATGCATGCACTATATAAACACATACTTTGCTAAGCTAAGGCCAGCATAAGTCTTTAATTTGGAAAGCATGGTAAGAATAAACAGTACTGTATTTAGAGAAGTCTGTGTGTGGGTGCACGCCCTTACAAGTGTTTGTTTCTGGAAAGATCCTGTCCTTTTTTTACTGTTTGGCTTTCTGATCAACAGAGTCTCTTTCCTCTATTTGGTAATTCAACTTCATGCTGAATGTTTTATCTGCTGTCCAAAATGGCCTGCATGTCTGTCGTTTGTGCAGTTTTCATTCTGTTGAATTGGCAGGCAAGTTGATACACTTCTGCTGTATGGAATCAAAATTGAACTACATCCTGATTTTCTAAGGAAGAATCATAGCCCTCAAAAGGCAATGCTCGTTTCTCATTCCATTCCATACAGCTCTCTGCTTCAAATGAGACTGAAATTAATACCGGTTTCCAGCTTTATCTAAAAGGAAGAAAACTCTAGGACTTTTTCCTTATTGTTCATATGAAATCATTTAAAGTTCACACACCCATCAACATACTCTTGTGTGGGCTACCTGGTAGGATGTCTGATGACTGAGTTGAATTTGTGGTGATGCTAATATGGAAGAGAGTTTCTTTATAAAAGGAAAATATTGAAACAGACTGGAAATCTTGGAGAAACACAATCAATTTCTTTAGTATTTTCAATAATATTTCTAAAACCAGGTTGTTGGGCTTTTAAAAAGGTATTTGGTGGGATGTATTTATTTTGCTACACTTTAAATCATATATTATCCATATCTATGTTTTGACATCTTCATAATTAGATATATACTAAGAAAAACAGAAACCAAACAAAAACCAGGTAGTCCTTGATTTACAACTGACAATTCATTCAGTGATCATTCAAAGTTATAGAAGCCCTGGAAAAATGGTGACTTACAACTGGTCCTCCCACTTACAATCAGTGCAGCATTCCCAGGGTCATTGAATCACCATTTGTGACCCTCCCAGCAGTCCTTTAATAAGCAAAATCAATGGGGGAAGCCAGATCAATTTAACAACTGCAGCCATTCACTTAAAAACAATGGCAAAAAGAATCCAACCTACTTAAAAATTACCTTGCTTAGCAGTGGAAATTTTGGTCCCAACTAGGGTTGTAAATTACTACTTGAGTACTACCTGAGTAATTGAGTTAGTAATCAATTCATCATGTAAGGAGGGGGTTTCTGGATAGCTATTACAGCAATGATTCAGTAGGACAAATATTCTTTATTGGTCATAAACTGTTGAAATTTATAAAATAGTAACTGCTTCCACAATAGCATTTGACTTTCTTGATTTAGAATTTTCAAACTCTTCAGATGTTTTAACCTTGAGGTGCAATTTTTGGTACAGTTTTTCCTTAAATGGTTGACAAAGGAATACATAAATAACAGGATCAAGACAAACATTTACAGCCGACAGTAGCAATGTCAGTTCTTTTAGGTGAAACAGTATATTTTTAATCTCACAGTTGTAATCAGGTTTGATTTGTTTTAATGTATATGGGGCTCTGACCAGGTGGTATGGAACAAAACAAATGATGAACACAAACATGATGGTGAAAATGTTTCTATTAGTCTTTTTCTTTGCCAGCTTGGAGTTTTTCTTAAATTTTTGGTGTGAAATATATATTTTCTTTGCAATGGAACTGTAAAAGACTATTAGGAGCAAAAACACAATCCAGAAAATTCCTAGGCATGTGTAGCTTGAAGCTGTGTGCCACTGGACTCCAAGACGGCTTTTGAGCTTCATACAGTCCTTTGAATTGTTTTCCGTAGGAGTTTGATTTGTTAAAATAATATTGGGAAAAGTGATAACAATCTGTAGCAGCCATATGATCAGGCATATAATTTTGCTACACTGGACATTATAAGCCGAAGTGCTGAATTGAGGCTTCATTACTTTAAAGCATCTGTCAAAGCCTATGAGTCCAAATAATGTTATACTAATATACATATTTAGGTAAAAGATGACAGTAGAAAAGCGGCAGACAACAACATTGAGCTGCCAATGTCCAACTTGGGAGTCCGAAAAAATTTTAAAAGGATAAGTTAAGCTCATAATAAGGTCGGCTGTGACCATGTTCTTGAGATAAACAATAAAACTTGTTTTGCTAGGAATGTGAAGAAAGATCCAAGCTGCCACTGCATTTAACAGTATTCCACCTATAAAGATGAAACCGTAGATCAATGGAATAATTTGTTGTGTAATGATTTTATTGCTATTACAGTTATTTTCTGAAGTATTGCTTGAATTGACCATGTTCAGTTCATTTTCAGTCCCTGAAAATAAAATAAAAAGATCAAGTCAAATTTAAGAAAACAATTTCCATGCATTTTTCTCTTTTAAGATATCAGAAGGTCACATGCAATTGCAAGTAAAAGGGCAACCTTCTCAAATAAAGTATTACTATTTTGAAATATAATTTCAAACAGGATCAAAGCAATTTCTTGCAAATAATCATCACAAAAGCAGCATGTGATTTTTTAAATGCTTTTATTTACTATATTTATGTAAACAACTTCATCTAATGTGGAGATGCACTAGCTAAGCAGCCCCTTGGGTACTTTCAGAGAATTGTAATTTTTAATGTGATAGAAGAAAATAATTAATTGTTTCTACTGAAATTTGAAGCTAGCCTCTGATAACAACACCTGCTTGTAGTTTTCTTAATAAGAATAAGGAATATTTTGCCATTACCTTCTTAGAAATGTTTTATTTTCAACTTGCCAATTTAGTTTAAAGCTACATTACCTGGTGGTTTCCTAGTCCAGTATTGGGCAGCAATAATTCTGCTCAATTTTTTAAATTTCTGCCAAGAAACTCACCTTTTATAAAGCAGCTTTAAACAATGTCCTATCATTTTTTAATTTTACCTACTTGTAAAAGGTATCTCAGCTCACAGAAGGAAAAACCCTCCTTAGTTTTGGGAAAAGTAAATGAGATGCTTGTAAGACCTATGCCAGCTGTTTTAGGTAATGTAGGCAACAAGCACAAATGATGAATACTAATTTACCTTTATTATAAGTGTTACCATAAACAAATCTAGATCTAAAAATACTTTCCTTTCTCTTGAACTAGGGAAGGTCCCATCTGAGATGCTTCCCACACTCCTTTTCCTTCTGTGGACTAAGAGACCTTTTGCTTGATAGTTGTCTAAGCTTCTGTCTCCCAAAGTCATTTTCAGAAATATTAGAGATACAAATGCATCTGTAGATGCACACAAAAAATACATGCAATCTATTAACTAGAATAATTGCACAGTGGCAGATAGGGCAGCACTCCAGAGGGTTAATTTCATTGCCCAGAAGATCATTGGTAGCCCTCTCCCCTCTTCCAAAGAAAATAAAGCTCCTGCTGCCTTAAGAAAGTTCAAAACATTCTCAAAGATCCATCTCATTCTGGGCACCCTTTTTTTTTTTTGAACTATTACCATCTGGCAGACAGTACAGAATAATAAAAACAAGGACAAATAGGCTGAAAAACAGCTTCTACCCCAGCGCAGTAACTCTATTGAATTCTACTATATAGTGCAATATTAATGCAATATCAGGGGTTTTCAGTTCAATGTATAGAATGTGAAGGATGTGTGTTTATTTTCATAGTCATAATATACACTGAAGATGGTATTTAATTTAGTTGTATGAAGTGCAATGACAATAAAGTAAATGAAACTAATAACTGATCAGACTTTATGCTTCTAATGAAATGGGCCTATATTATTTTTGTAAACAGATGGTGATGTTTACTATTTTTTCCTGAAATAGCCACAGGTTCCCTGATTATGGAAATAGATTTCTTCACGTATAGAAGCCTCTTCACTATGACCAAGTATTTAGAATATAAGATCATAATGTGATATTTTTAAAAATAAAATCATATGTATAAGTATATGTATTATCCCTTGATGAATGCACAGAAAAAATATATCGCATAGCCTTCATGATTTGCGTAATCCTGTTTTAACTGGGGGAAGCATAACTGGATTAGAATTCTTGTTCAGGATACCACAATTCAAAAAAACAACCTGAAGTTACCATAATAAATGTTCCAATCCTACTTTCACTTCCCATAAATGCAGCTTTTCCTTCCGGTCTCCTTTTTAAGTTATGTAAGTCTATAAAGTCAGTTTTTTTTTTCATTTTAGCATTTCTCCTTTTAATGAGTTGAACATGCGAAAATTATAGGCAAACTTTCTCAGTAGAAAAGTGCTATTGATAAAGATACACTAGGGCTTATTTTTCATAAGGTTTTATGGGACAAATAGGATTGCAGGAAATGTGAGAGAGAAAAAGCAGTTCATATCAGTTTTTCATATTCACTTAATGATATACTGAGAAATATGGATCTGAATATTAATGTGTTAGAACAAGGTGCAAGAAATGCAATGACTGAATCCAAATTATATATAAATGTTGAAAAATTAACATAGATGAACTTACGTTCCTTGGTAAAAGTTTGCTAAAATTGGAAAATAGAAGGATAAATTTTAAGATGTAGAAATGCTGAGGGAAAGGCAGTGAGTGCAATAACAGTCGCTGTCTTGAAGAACATGCCAAGAAGTATGTAGTGAATGAATAATGACTAAATTATAAAAATGATACATAAAACTGAGAGAAGGAACAAGACCAAGTATGCTATAGATGGTTGGAGTTAAGTTTTTCAGAAAAAAGTGAGAAGTTTAAAGAACAAAAGGCAATATATGAAGTATATGAAAATGATAGATTATATGATTATATGTGAGAAAGATATAGAGAAGTATAGCGAACAGTATTGGTATAACTAAGCTTTCTTTTCTTTTCTTTTCTTTAAAATATCCTTTATTTAAATCACGCTAACAAGTTAAATGGTTGCAACTATTAAACAGGATCTATTCCCCCCCACCCCCAAATCCATAAATGTCTTTGTGAGGAATATTTCTGCATACATAGGAAATTTCTACTATTGTGATTTACAGCAGAAAACTTAATGAGTTGATTTAAAAATGAAGGAACAGCTAAAAGAAAAATGTGATATTTACACAATTGAACTTGACTTTGGACATGAGAAGGCCAAAGAGATTGCAGAAATAAACTCTGCAGAGGATTACATATATATTGTGTTAATGGAAACCAATGAAAAATGTATCAACTATTTTCTCTTTGAAACAATTTCAAAATTCCAGGATGCGTTTTTATGGCCTCTTAAGACAACAGCTCCATATATAGATCCATTTCCTTGAATCAAATTAAGGTGAGAGTTTTGAGACACTAATGTCATAGAACTTCTTGTGATCTTTTCAGACTGGTTGATTTCAAGGTGAGGAACACAATACCTACAGTAATTTTTATAACAGCTTAGCACAGTATGGGCCAAGAAGAAATTTGGACCCATTTCATTTCTCTGCTTGCAAACCAGAGTAGCATTTACACCAACTGTTAGCATTCAAAGTAGAATAAGCAGGAAAAGCAAAAGAAGTTACTTCCAAGAAAGAATCTATGTTCATAAAATATTGGTTCTTTTTGCTGTTTATTTCCAGAAGCCCATTGACTTTGTAGTCCTATCCTATTATTTCATAACTGTACTCTAGTGGCCCCTCTGAGTTTACTAAGCACAATTTGTTATATACCATGAAATACCTGGTTACCATTCCTTTCACATCTATATTGCATAAGCCTGTAACTCCCCTTTTCTAGAACTATATTTGCCTCCAGTGCCGTCCATACAGTAATGTAATCTATACTGGTATCCAGTTCAAACCTGTCCCTAAAAAGCACATCCAGTTCATTATAAACCAAAAGTGTTTTTCCCCTCATTTCTGTTCTGCAGAGCTTTGAAATCTCTGGATTGCTCTGATGTCAGAAACCCAAAATTATTCTGCCAAGTATGAAGTTTACAGAAAGGCAAAGATTTCTAACAATGAATTATACCTTGTTTAATAATAAAAATAACAAAGTAATAAATATAGCTTAAATATTGTAATTGTGTAATGTGCAATATTTCTGTACAAAATAGCCAGCATGGGCTATATATTCTTTGCTCAATAATGCTATATTATACGAAACATTCAAAATAAGAGGTAAGTCATTTGTTCATTAGCATTGGTTATCAAGCAAAATTTGCTTCATGTTGCAAGTGTCCAATAACATAAATAAGTCTTTTAAAAGAGTTAACTTGGCTTCTCCTTCTAATTATGGTATTGTTTGCCTTCCTGGCATTCCACATATACACACAAAACTTGTTTTCCATTTTTATTTTTCACCAAAACTTTAAAAAAAAATTAAATTCTCATTTAATCCCAGTAACTATGAGTAGATAGCTAATTATACTGATATATTTGAGATGGAAACAATCTTTAATACAAATGCAATCAGGTTTAACTTTATAGATTTTTTTAAAAAGTATCAGAGGTACAAAGATGAGATATAACTGGTTTTATAACTGCTTGAGTAACTAGTTCAGGAGAAGCTATAATTAATGCAATGTATAGCTAATAATGAACAATTAAATATTATCTTTATCTTTATTTGTAACTTACTGGTGTGTTGATTCTCATTACTAGTTTTAAATTGCATTGAGATTTAACAATAACCTTTATAACGGTGTTGGAAGTGAATGATGTACAGTCAAAAAACTACGTGTTAAAATAATATACCATGTCATATTCAGCATACATCTACTAAGTTATTGTGTTTTAAATATCTTTTCTAGTCCGCAGTTTGGAGTTATAATCCTATGGCTAGATTTGAGATTAAGCATTTTGACAAGAATACATTTTTAAAAAAATCAAAGCAAATAAATGTAAAGTAACTTCTTACCAGTATGGACTTTGGTTGTTTTTCAGATGATTCAGAAGTGAGGGTACCCTTTCAAATCCATGCTAAAATAAAGTTCCCAGTACTTCCCACACTGGTTTAGTCCCAGAGTTGTAGAGTTTGTGGCTTCCAGCTGATACTACAGCTGGCCATGAGAGGCTGATTAAATTGAAAGTGACAAATCTAAAAACCTTGCCAAAAAAAAAAAAGGAAATGTATGAAGAAGCTGAAACCATAATAGTTTTCTAGTAGCAAAAGCAACTCTTCCAAAATTCTAATTTCCTCCTCCTTCCACGCCCAGTTCTTATAAACTAGAAAATTCCCAAGAAATTGGCTTAAGCAACAAACAACATACCCAGCTTTGGTAATAAATATTCTATATGTACTTCCACATTAAGCAGAAAAAAATTATTTGACCATATTTTTTGGTTTTAACTGGTTAGATTTAATGAATGTTTTCAAAGTGATATGAGCCTTGTATGGAAACAGTGAAAATCTTTTCTAGGACTGCATTATTTTTATGGAAGAAGTGCTGGTGCTTTCCAAAAAGTTAATGTCCTTATTAGTGGAATAACTGCAAGAGCTTCAGACAAACATACTTTGTAATTATTTTCTTTTTATATTGAGTGAGAAATGAATACTGTTTAAAAATGAAAATACATGAAATCATGATGAGTAATATGTTAAAAGTCCTTGTGGGAACTGCTGTATAAAATCAGTCAGATCTCACGGAAAATTACCACCTGTTGAGACCCGCACAGGAAGAGTTCATGGTTCTAAGAAGTTGAAATTCCTGATGTAATTACGTGAAACAAAGGGGTTTTTTTAATGCTCTTTTTTATGTTTTAAAACTAATTATATAAGGAATTAGCTCCATACCCATGCTTTGCTATGAAACTATGTGATTGGGCTTAGTTTTTTGGGAGGAAAATAAGGGAAAAATTGTGCCTCTGCCTTTCAGCATCCATCGGTATTCATCTGCTTAGCATCCTTTCATAGTGAGAGAGTTGAGGGCTACTTGGAAACTGAAGCAGTATTTGCTGTGTGAGCAAGAAGGAGACAGCAAGGAGCCTGGGCATGGTTTAGCTCAAGTGTTCTGTACTAAAGCTGGTTGCTGCTGTGAAACCAAAACTGAAACTGAAACTCCTCTCCTCTGCTTGTGTTTTGCCTTTGGAACAGATTTCTTTTGAGGTGGGGAGGGGGAGTAAAACTCCTTAGCATCAGAGAGTATTAATAATAATATATGAAATACTAATGCTCTGATGGTCATTATGAAAAATCCACCTAGCCAAGAGGAACATACGTGCCAAATTTCAAGTTTGTAGGCTTTATGGTTCTGGAGATTTTGTGATGATGCGTGAGTGGTATTTCGCTTTTATATACATAGATAACTATTTAACTCTGACATAATATTAATATTATTGAAGACAATCAAATTGCTACAGTATAAATTCTAAAGCAGGGGTCTCCAACCTTTTGGACCTCAGAGACCACCAAACTCATAATGTTAAATCCCGCAGACTATTAATATGAATTTTGACTGACAGTGGCTTGCTGACGTTGGTGTGAAAGTCGGTCCCATATTCCAGAACAGAAGTAGTCACAGGACTGATCCTTTGGTCATCCCGGAGCAGCTGCTCCTCCAGTCCATGGCAGGCCGGTGCACCCAGGTGGAGGAGCCGCTGCTCCAGGATGACCAGCTCTGGAATATGGGACTGACTTTACCACCAACATCAGCAAGCCATCCCGGGGTGGATTTCTCTCCCTCACCATTGGTCTTACCTTCCAGTTCCAGCTCGCGTGGCTCTACTCAAGATAAAGTTTCCACTCAGCTGAAGTATGGGATACAGTAGGTAGATGGGTCATGTGGGCGGCACAGCCTTGTGTTCCCGAGCAGCATGGATTAATTGCTTTGGGGGGGGGGTGCATTGGGGGGGAACATTTCTCTGTGGACCACCAAAATTTTCTCACGGACCACCAGTGGTCCTGACTATTGGTTGGCGACCACTGTTATAAAGAACATGGGTGGCATGAAATGTGCCACTTGAATGAACACTTGATTCAACTGTAGATTCACTTTCTGTTGTTTAAGATTGGGAAATATCACATACCACAATGTTTGGTTTTTTTCAACATGAACTTTTAAAAAGAAAGAAGAAGTAGCGGTGCTTATATAAAACAGACTACATTGCTGATAGATAAGAATGAAATGACATAGGTGCTAGGACAATTCTTTCTGTACATATTTAAATTTCCTTAAACGTTGATATCACCCTCATAATTCCTATTGGTTATCTTTCTTTCTTACCTTCCCCACATTCTATGTTTACTTCAATTATAGATGTATTCTTGAGCATTTTTATTAAGAAGAAAGCCTAATTGGGGCTTACCATCAGATAACTCTGCATCAACTGTGTGCACACTTTCAAATCTCAAAAAACCAAGCCAGTAGAGGTGATCCTTGATTTACAATCATTTGTAAACCATTTTTACCATTATTGAAATTTGAATGGCATTGAAAAAAAGTCCTCGCACATTTTAGAGTCATCGCAGTATCTCTGTGGTTACATTTGGGCATTTGTTGTCATGACATGTATGTATGACAACTACAGTGTCCCAGGCAGTGGTGGTATTCAACCGGTTCTGCCCGGTTCTGGCAAGCCAGTAGGAGCGATGAGCAGTGTAGACCAAACTGGTTCTCTTCGCCACTCTGGACCCACCTACCCACCTGGGCTTCCATATTCACTTTTATTCTCTAAATTTGCAGCTGCTTTGCGCGGCATAGAAGAGTGCCGCATGGCAGCTGCTGAAGCGATCGGGATCATGCAGGCTTGCAAGAGGTGAATTAGATTGCCTCTGTGCCACACCCACCGAACCAGTGGCAAAAATATTTGAATCCCACCTCTGGTCCCAGGGTCATGTGATTGCTATTTATGACCTTTCCAATCTGCTTATGACAAGCAGCAACAATGGGGGAAGCTGGATTTGCTTAAAGATTGTGCAATTCACTTATAACTGCAGTGATTCAATTAACAACCATAGCAAAAAAAGGTTGTAGAAGAGGGTGCAGCTCACTTAACAATTTAGCAATGGAAATTATAGTCCCAATTGTGGATTGTAAATTGAGGACTACCTGTATGTCACTGTTATTTCTTAAGAAATTTACAAGAAAGTTTTGATGTTATTATACAGGCACGTAATACAACCATGAATAGAGTGCTCTGTGCCAAACCCTTCACAACTATATGCCATCATAAAAGTTAAAAATAACAATGTGATTAACCAGATTTATTTAAAGGAAAACAGGAGTTTGTTTATACAATCTTGCCAATTATATTTACTTTAACATCACATTTTCTCTATAGTTTGTTGAGAACAGGTTTCCTTAATTTTTCTAATTGTAGATAGTTGTCAACTTGCAACTAAATTGGGACAAGAATTTCTACTGCTAAGTAAGGCAATTATTATGTTGGTTGTGCTGGATTTTATGACCTTTTTTGCCAAGGTTATTAAATGTATCACTGCAGTTGTTAAGCAAATCCAACTTGTCCCATTGATTGTGCTTGTCAGAACAAAATTGTATGACTCAAGACACTGCAACAAAATCATAAATACCTGCTGGCTGCCACGTATCCAAATTTTGATCTCATGATCCAAATTTTGATCATGTGATGGTCATAAGTATGAAGATGGTTATAAGTGATTTATTTCAATGACATTGTAACTTTGGATGGTTGCTAAATATGGGGTTGTCAACTGAGAACTACCTGGAGGAGAGGTGGATTTTCTGGTAAGGTAGAGATGTACAATTATCATAATGTTTGGCTAGGTTGCTGGTGACACAATAATTCTAGATTAGAATAACTTCAAAATTAAAGTCATCGTGCTGATAGGCTTTCAGCCCCAATTCAAAATGCTGATTATTAAAGTCCAGTAAAATGCAGTAGTGGGATTCATCCATTATTGTCTTGCCACAACTGATTCTGCCTATGTGGTCAAATCTATAAGGTCTCTTTATAATAATAAAGTCCCCACTCCTCAAAAGCTCCACGGGACAGGTTTTTGTTGTGGAGCACCAGTCTTTGGAATATCCTGAATATATCTGTTGCTCCAACTCTTGAGTGCCTTTCACAAACAAATACAACCAATCCGCTCCTTTCTCTCTCTCTCTCTCTTTGGCTTTAGTTGATTGTGAATGGCTATCATAGGAATTGATGAGTATTTTTATAGAGTTTATATTATTTCTTTTTCATGTTTTTAATCCATTTTATATGTTGCTGTTAGCTGTTGAGAAAGCCTTTGAAGTGGGCCTATTTTAAAATAATGCATAATTAAATTAAAATGAATTTCAAAAAGGCTTGATGCATGTATTAAGAGAACTCTGTCATAAGATTAAAGAGTTGCAATGGATTGTGTTTAACTATACGTTAGAGACATTAAAAATTTTTTTTTGTGGGGGGCAGTGTAGGTGAAGTGGCAGAACTTGGGGGTTGAATTAAAAGAGAGATAAGCCTGGAATCCCTATACAGCCAGAAGCAAACTAAGCCCAACTTTCCTTGAATTAATGTTAGTGTGAATTTGTTAGGCATGTCAGTTTATACATTATCAACAGTAATACATTGCTATCTTTTTGCTGTGCATATAACTGCTGTTAATAATCCTACTTTTTAAACTTCCATTTGATGAATTCAAAATTGCATCTTCACTTCTCCTGCTTATTTTAAAGATTTGCATTATGATTACCTGAGGAATTTTGTGGAGAAGTTAATACATTTCATATTTTACTTCAGGTAATGCTGTAAATATGAGTAAGTGGATTGGCTTGAATTTTAATTAGTATTTCTTTTCTTCAAGGACAAAATAGATTGGAACTGGGCTACCACTTATCTTGGCGTAGTGTGAATCCTTTCCTGATTATTTGTTTGCTATTTAAATTATTCTTGTGGTTTATGCCAGTTAACCTGACTGGAAACTAGATTGGACAAAGCTGTCCAATGATGTCTTGTGAGATGAATTAAAAGTAGCTTATTATGAGTTCTCTGTTTAAATTTGTTGTATTATAGCTTGACTTAAGTCTTACAGAATATCAGCTAGGCAACTGTGAATTCGGGCAAAGCTATACTTTCTGTTTGTCC